TGCTGTCTGCCAGCGAGGTCAAGTGTTTGGACTCTAGAGTCACATTGCTTGAGTATAGATTCCAACGTCCTAGGTGTGTAAATTTGGGTAAGTTATTTAACCTCTGGGCCTCAGTTTTCTCATCCATTAAATGTGAATAAAAATGGTAACTTTTTTTAGAGCTCTTGAAATCTTTGCAAAGCGTGTGGAGCTTCGTAAATGTGTTATCTACATGAGTATAATTATGTAATACGCAATTCAAAGAAACAAATGCAAAAGCCACCACTAATTGCCAGTCACCTTTTTTTCCATCACGTATTCATTACTTTATATAACAATGAAAAATCAGAACCTTTTGCTCTAATTCCCATTTTGCTTTCTCTGCTTAGATATAGAGTTTGATAGTTTAAATGGGTAAAAGAAGAATCCAAAGGAGAGGGGTTAAGGTTATTACACTTTGATTTTCAAGACTGAATAGTTTTGTGGGATGGTTAGGCTATCCAAACTAAGGTGTATGGAACTAGAAGTAAGCTTTTAGCTGACTCTCCATGCAACAGTGTCTGGAAGACAGGATGGTAACAGAGGGAAAGTATCAGAAGTGACCAAAAATTCTTACTCCCAAGGACTTGTGGCTTGTGCTCCTTTTCCCCAGTTTTCTTGTTGGATTCATTATCACTGATCAGGGGCCAGACTTGACTATATTGGAAAATCTGGTCTTTCAGAACTTACAGATATTGCTACTTGGCTAACATGGGACTTGTACTGTCACACTGGCAATCAGGGTACACATTAGGAAGAGGGATATGCTGACCATACTAATTCTCTAAACATCTGGAATTGAGATACTTTATTACAGGCATAATACACCAAGGGCAATATAGAAAATGATGTTCAATTGATTATAGGCCAAATACCATCACCACTGGCATTCGTAAAATGCAAGGTTGAGAAATTAATCTTTGAACAATTTCTATACATTCCCCCTTCCTCTTGTAACCCTCTCCCCTGGCCCACTACTTTCCTCTGACTGTACACAGAATGCCATATAGGTGACTCAGGCTTTCCCTCCCTGGAAGTCCCTGATGCTCCAAAATTGTGTGTTCCTCTTTCCTCCATAGCATAAATGAAAACAATTGTTTAAACTTGAATAGCCTTTTAGCGTTTGAAAAACTCTTTCACCCTTACTGTTTTATTCGGTCTTTATGATACCTCTGCGAGGTAGGGAGCATTATAGAAAACTTGGTGTTAAGTGATTTTCACAGAGTTTACACGTCAGGTAAGCACCTGAACCAGGGCTTGAACTCAGGTAATCTGCTGCTGGATCCAGTACTTATTCTCTTAACTTCACTTGGATGCTGCCATTTATAGAAGAGCATAGCTTTTGATCTTAACCACCTATAGAAGATGCACACTTAAAAGTGTTGCTTGGGATTTGCCTGGTGGAACAGTGGTTAAGAATCTGCCTGCCAATGCAGGGGACACAGGTTCAAGCCCTGGTCAGGGTAGATCCCACATGCCGCGGAGCAACTAAGCCTGTGCACCACAACTAGTGAGCCTGCGCTCTAGAGCCTGCGAGCCACAACTACTGAGCCCATGCACCTAGAGCCCGTGCTCCGCAACAAGAGAAGCCATCGCAATAAGAAGCCTGCATACCACAACAAAGAGTAGCCCCCACTCGCCGCAACTAGGGAAAGCCTGCGCGCAGCAACAAAGACCCAATGCAGCCAAAAACAAATAAATAAACAAATTTTTTTAAAAAGTGTTGCTTGTTCGAATTTGAAAAAACAAAAACAAAAACAAAAACCCAACCAACCAAAGGAAAAATAAACCTCAAAGAAACAGAGAACAGATTGGTGGTTGCTATAAGGATGGGGTGGGGAGTGGGCAAAATGTGTGAAAAGGGTCAAAAGGTACAAACTTCCCGCTATAAAATAAATGTCATGGGGCTTCCCTGGTGGCGCAGTGGTTGAGAGTCCGCCTGCCGATGCAGGGGACACGGGTTCGTGCCCCGGTCCGGGAAGATCCCACGTGCCGCAGAGCGGCTGGGCCCGTGAGCCATGGCCGCTGAGCCTCCGCGTCTGGAGCCTGTGCTCCGCAACGGGAGAGGCCACAACAGTGAGAGGCCCGCATACCGTAAAAAAAAAAAAAAAAAAAGTGAGCATGTACTAGGCTACAAAGGAAGTCTCTATGTGGAAATATTTTAGGTGCATTCTCTTTATGGTCTAAGAAAGACAGGGGTGGTCACTGTAACTACTACTGCTCATTGCAGTCCTCCGGTAGTAGGTGTGCCGATGTATCCTTTAATGTGTGTAGTGAGGACTGTGAGGGGTGAATTTGTGGTGTTGGGTCTGAGTGGTGATGACATTTGATTGCTTGATTAGAGCATTCCGTGTGGTGAGGTGTATTTGAGAATTAATTTTGACATATAGCATCGAATCCTCACTGCCTACCTCTTCTGGAGAGTCTGTGAGCTATTTAATATCTTTTAATTTTTCTGCATAAACTAGCCAGAGTAGATTTTATTGAATTGCATCTGAAAATATGACTGATTAAAGGGAGATCTTGATAAAGCATATAGCGTTATAAAGCTAAGATGATAAAAACAGTATGGTAGTGTTACAGAAACAACTAGATCAATGAAACAAAATATAAAACTCAAGAAGAGACCAAGTTTCTAGGTAACATTATATGTAATAAAGGCTGTACCACAGATCGGTGGGGGAAAGGTGGATTATTTTGTAGATACTGCTGGGAAGACTGTTCTGCTCTATGGAGAAAAATAAAGTTGCATTTCCTCTTATACCATATATACATGCAGATTTCAGATGAATTAAAACCTACATGTAAAAGAAAAACCTATAAAGATAACAAAATACAATGCAGGAAATTATGTTTGTGGCCTTGGAGTAGGGAATGATTTCTAAGTCAAGATCCCAAAACTCAAATCATAAAGTAAAAAAAAAAAAGATATCTTTGACCCCCATCAAAATGAAGTATTTCCATTCAAAAAGGACACCATAGACAAAGTTAACACATTAGGGGTATACTAGAAGAAGGTATTTGTGATGTTGAACACTTCAAGGAATCAATGTATGAGGAACTCCTGAAATTTACTGAGAAAAAAACTGGGGACCTAATTTTAAAATGGGCAAATCATTTGAACAGGTAATGTTGAAAAGGAAAACACAAATAGCTCAATTTCACCAAACGAGTAATACAAGTTAAAATGAGACTCCACACTCAGCATATTGGTAAAATTTAGACAGTTTTATAATTTTGATAACACCAAATGCTGTTGAGGATTTGGAGAGACTGGACTGCTCAAGCATTTTTGGTAGAAGTTGTATGTGATTATCACTACTTTGAGTGATTAGTGAAATTGAGTATGTATATACACTATAATTGGACATATCCCAAAGAAGTTCTTACACAGTTAATAAGGGGAAATATAGAAATATGTTTATTGCTGTGTTGATGGGAGTTAGAGGCATCCTATGAGTCCCTCACTAGGGGGTTGGATAGGTAAATGTGGGGGAAGCACATGGTAAAATATTTTGCAGTAGTTGGAAACTGTGAGCCAGAAGTACATACCCAGTGATCAAAAAAGAGTTTTAAGTTATCTATAGCTGTAGACCACTTGGCTTCAGGATGAAGCTGCCTAAACACTTAGCTTACTTGTATAATTGTATTTCCTTTGTGTTTCCTTTTGTGTTTCAATTGTCAGAAATTTCAGAGCTCAAATTAATCCCAGTAGCCATATTAGTTTTTGTACTAAATGAATCTGTGTCCACTGTCTTTGATTCCTCCATCCTAATTTTACAGCCATATTGGAATTTTGTATTTTATTTGGAAACTTTTTTTTCTGGGGAAACTTTTCCTGGGGAAACTTTTAAAATTTTATATATAAATAAAAAGTCACTGTTGGACCTTAATGATCATCTTATTATTATTAAGGAATCTCCCAGTAAAAAAAGACAAAAAAATATTAGGGAAGAAACGAATTTCTCCTGACCTGGGATACTATTTTAAAAAGACAGAAAAGGAAATGAATAAAGCAACCAACCATCTTAGGATGAGGAAAAGAAATATTTCACTCTATGGAAGTGTGTTTTAAATAACTCACTCATCTGAATGAAGAACATCTTTTGTTCATCAGAAGGCTTTCCAGGAAGGTGGTTATTTCCTCTGCATAGACTTCATATCCCTATGGAAATTGAATAAGGAAGAGGAATTTGAACAAAAGCAAATGGCAAAAACTCTCTTCAGGATGTGAGAAGCTATGAAGACTGTCTCAGAGGCTGCTTGGGGATATGATTTCCCATCAGTTCCCATGCTGCCCACTAGGTGGTGGTGGTGCACATAAAAACTCTACTGTATACACCATGAATTGCCATAAACCTCGTTTACTCTTCTTTTTCAAACAAAATCCCAAGAAAATCTGTATAAAAGCCTCAGGCAGAAGTATGAAGCCCTCAATAATAACACAGGGGACAGTCTCAGGCTATAAGATGAGGATAGGTACCATCCAAAAGAGATCATCTCCAAATGCAATTTTGGGTCTTCCTTGACCCAGTTTCTTTTGGTTACAGAAAAATACAAGGGAGATTTTCTTTCTATACTTATTCCAGAGATCACCTTGGATAAAAGGAGTCAAATTTTGATGAATATCATAATTTACACCGTAATTTTTGTGCCTTAAAAAAACCTATTGCTCATCTACCACAATTACTATGATTTCATGATCATTTTTAACATGTTATCATATCATTATAGCACATGTGATAAGTTCAGCATACCTTTTGTGTGAATCTATCACTTTAGTTTGAATGATGAAGCAGTCTCCCAACCATTGTGAGACTCCTTCTGACACCACTAATGAAGGAAGAGAGCTCCTAAATGATTAATTCATTCTTAAATGCACAGCTGTGGTGACCTCTGAAAACATACATTCCTTTTTAAGACTACCTTCTCAAAACAAAGTCATTATTATGTAGCCTCAGGACTGTAGTCACTCTTCTTCAGTTCACAGATTCTGGCTGATGATGTCATGACACAGAAGAAAATGCAAAACAGGCAGCCTTACATCAGCTTCCTGGTGAGCATCACACTTGTGGCTGAGGTCTGAGACCAGCTGCGTTTTGGCCATGGCTTTGCAGAGCGTTCTGGAAGCACTGTGGCTGGAGCTCCTCCTCAGCTCTCTCTGGAATGGTGAGTAGGCTCCTGCATCATCTGGTCTTGGAAAAGTGTATGCCATTGTTTTAAAACTTGGACTCATTAAAAAAAACAAAAACAAAAAGTTGGACTCATTAAAAAAATGAAACAGCCAAATTCATTAATACCCACTGTACCTAAGGGGCAATCAATAAACCAAATAGCAGTGTAAAAGTCACAACGTTCTTTTTTTATTTCCTGTAGTTGCAGAGAGCAAGGACCGAGTATTTCAGCCTTCCACTGTGGTCTCTTCGGAGGGTGCTCTGGCAGAAATCTCCTGTAATCACTCTATATCCAATGCTTACAACTTCTTCTGGTACCTTCACTTCCCAGGATGTGCACCAAGACTCCTTGTTAAGGGCTCAAGGCCTTCTCAGCAGGGACGGTACAACATGACATATGAGCGGTTCTCTTCATCACTGCTTATCCTCCAGGTGCAGATGGCAGATGCAGCCATTTACTACTGTGCTCTGGAAGACACAGAGGCAGGAAATCCATGAAGAGCTGAACAGAAACAAGGAGAGATCACAGCCTTTGCAGGGGGTGGAAAAAAGATGAGCAATAACTGTTCACCCCACTACCCCCAATTCAACGTTCTCCAAGCTTTTCCATTTGGCACTATCAGAAAAAACATTTGAGTCCAGACACACTATATATTAGTAAAGGTACATAGGGAAATATGTTTTTAAGGAGTGTTTCATTAATGGTCTGTAAATCTACGTTTTAAATAGTTTACTTTTTAAAAAAATAAATTTATTTATTTTATTATTTTATTTATTGTTTCTGGCTGCGTTGGGTCTTCATTGCTGTGCGTGGGCTTTTCTCTGGTTGCGGCAAGTGGGGGCTACTCTTTGTTGCAGTTCGCGGGCTTCTCATTGCAGTGGTTTCCCTTGTTGTGGAGCATGGGCTCTAGGCGCACTGGCTTCAGTAGTTGTGGCACACGGGCTCAGTAGTTGTGGCTCGCGGGCTCTAGAGCGCAGGCTCAGTAGCTGTGGTGCACGGCCTTAGTTGTTCTGCAGCATGTGGGATCTTCCCGGGCCAGGGATTGAACCCGTGTCCCCTGCACTGGCAGGCGGATTCTCAACCACTGCACCACCAGGGAAGCCCTTAAATAGTTTTCTTGTTAATTGAAACACTTTTGATCCATTTCTTTTGAAATCTGATTGAATTATTTTTGCTTTCCCTCATAAAATGGCTGATGATGAACTTGTGATAGCAGGAAGAGTCATGTTCACTCTGCCATTTTCTTCTTGCTTTCTGTGTTTGCATTTTAAATATTATCTGCCAGCTTCACTCTCTTTGCAGGAATCTTTTCAAGACGTGTATCCACTTTATAAAGGGTACTTTAGTTAACACTGGATAATATAGTAAGCTGAAAGCGAATGAATGAGTGGCTACTGCCAACAACCCTGAGTTTGGAAGCTCAATCCTTCCCTCAGGATATTTTACTTATTATAACCTAATATATAGGCCCCGTGAGGATGTCAGTGCCAATTGGTATATGAAATATTAGTAAAACTCAATCTCCTTCCAAATTTTTAAGCTAAAATAAAATACAACTGGAAGTTGTAATATATTCTTCCCATATCCTCGTTACTTTGTCTTTTTACCCAGACCTGTCCCTCCCACTTTAGAAACCAAGGTCCTAGGATAGATTAGTGATTCCCAAACTTTTTAAAATCATAAGTCTCTGGAGTTTTGTTTAGAAAAATAGATTGTTTCCTACATTCTAGATGAACTGAATCAGAGTTTTCTGGAGTGGGGTCCTGAAGTCTGTATTTTCCATAAATGTCTCCCTGGTGATTCTGTTGTTCAGTCAGATTTGATGTGGGAAACCAAGACTCTGGACTCCAGATCTTGAGGCTTTAGCCACTATTCTTTACTTTTAGTAACATCCAAATGTCTCCACTGTATACACATATAAATTGGTATATGTTTGTACAACTTCTTTAGGCATATTCTATTTTGGATTATTGCCTGTTTAGCAGTGTATTAGTCTTACCTTTTAACCAAATGAAATATTTGAAAAGACGAAGCATGTGTGCATTTTCTTCATGAGTTCTGCATGGTGCCGTGTGTATTGTTGTTGCTCCATAAACAGTGAATAAGCATGTGGCCCCCTCATTGTTTTGGCAAGCAAGAAAAGAGCCAGAAAATTCCTTTTCTTCATAGAGGAAGTTCTTTTCAGTTCACTGAGGGGTGTGTGTGTGTGTGTGTGTGTGTGTGTGTGATGTATTGAAAACCCTACCTTTTACATTGGTGTTTTGATTCTACTGTTTAAACTGTCAATGACTAGTCTTCCTACCAGATTTTTTCCAGCTCATATGTAGAATACTAAAGACATTATTACCCAAAGGGGAAGTGGAAGAAGAATGAAATAAAAGAAGGGGAAAATGCAGTTGATGAGAGAGGAATTACAAAGAAGAGAGCTCAGTGATAGCTCACTCTTAAAGGCATCATGAAGCTTTCAGTCTGATGGTGACTTGTGAAACATTTACAGGAGAGTAAAGTTCCCTGTATTCCCAAATCCTGGGAGTTTGCATCTATATAGAGATTTCCATATTCTCTTTTGGAGGTTTACTTCCCATTAAAAACAAAACAAGATAAAAAATTCCTGGTTGAAAAAGCTGTTCTAAGACTCCTGAGACTAAACATGGAGAGCAGGGCTGGAGAGTTACTTAAGAGTCCAATGCAGCTGCCATGAAGCTGTCCAAGGTCTCCCTGGATCGGTCTGCTCTGTCTGCTGCCGGTAATATCTGCATTGATGGTAAAGTTTTCCTGGGGTCAGTAGCTCAGCCAGTTCTTCAAATGTCTGAGGACCTCTTAGAAGCAATTATCTAGGGACTGCTTTGGTTATGTGGCACATACAAGTGAGGTCAGCATTTGGTATACACTCAATTAATAAGATGACCTCTAAAGTTCTACTTGGCACATTCAAGCTATGATTGTATAATTGTATTAGGATAATGAAATTACTTTCCAGTATTATAAGGTTTTTTAAAAAAGTAAATGATCCAAAAAAAAGTAAATGATCAAAATTGAAATTCTCAGTGTGATTTAGTGGAAAGAATGCTTCTGAAGTCAGAAAAGTATGGGTTAAAATCTTTGTTCTATTTATTTAGGTGTGACTTGAGTAAATTACCTAATATTTCTGAACTCCAGTGTCCTCATCTCTAAAATATTAGGAGAAATAAAAAGTCAAGAAACGTAACGGGCTTAACATTATGCTCACAGTAGGCATTTGATGAATAACATCTCATTAATCTCATAAATCAAAGCACATAAGCAGAATAGCTATTGAGTCTATTTTGTTCAATTCTTTTTTTTTTTTTTTTTTTTTTCCTGTACGTGGGCCTCTCACTGTTGTGGCCTCTCCCGTTGTGGAGCACAGGCTCTGGACATGCAGGCTCAGCGGCCATGGCTCACGGGCCCAGCCACTCCGCGGCATGTGGGATCTTCCCAGACCGGGGCACGAACCTGTCTCCCCTGCATCGGCAGGCGGACTCCCAACCACTGCGCCACCAGGGAAGCCCTATTTTGTTCAATTCTGAAAGCTCAACTTATGCCCTAGGATTCCTTTGGGTGTGTGGTCTCTTAAAGGTTTAATTCATTTGTAGCTCTTGGAATTAATTACTAAATGGTTGAACATAAACAAAATCTAAGTCACTTGCACTATCTAAGCATAGTTCTGCATGCTGTGTGTTCTACATCTGTAGAGGATAGAAGTAGTAGAGATTGGGCAATTACCAAGAAAATTTAATTACAGCACTAAAGTCTATATTGGACTCTTGTTTTAATTTGACTTTTTTTGTCTTTCTACATCAATCAAAATGCTGTATAGATATGCCCATACATACATTTAGGATATACCCACATTTTGCCTGATTGACAGGGTAGCCATAAACCCCAGTGTCAGGGGGCTGGATGTTCTTTGCCCTCCTCTCCAGGTCTACTCTCCATCCTGCTCTATGCCCAGGAGGCTGACTTCTATGTACTTGTCTTTTGTGCTTCTGGTTGGGTTTGGCCCAGTGGGAGGCATTGGCAGGAGAGAGTGGTCAGCATATTTATACTCTTAGATCTTTTCTTTTTTGTGCTGAAATCCACAGGTCCTGTTGATCTACATCAGTTACAGGTCTCCCAGGCTAGGGTAATTTCTTCCTCCTCTGTCCCTTCAAGTCTAGGCGTGGTGAAGTCTTCTGACTGTTGCTGGCCTCAGGGTGCCTTACCTTCTCTTGTAGATTTCCCCTAATCCTACCCATGTATTTAAAAATATTCCTTTCATTAAGCTTTTCCCAGTCATCCTCTGGAGATGATTGCCGGTAACACGTAAGCTCTAGGAAGAGAGAGAAGAAATATATTCTATGTTCCCATTCATCACAGGTCTCTTTGGGACTTGAAGATTAGTATTTAAAGATAACTTACATATGCCAAAGAAAGACATTATCATAGGGTAAAGGTTTTAACTAGCATGAGAACCTTAGCAAAGCTTTCAGAAATAGCTACCTTCCACATTTTTTTTGACTCAAAGCAAAGAGATTTTCTATCCTCTTTCCAAAATGTGTGGTTTATTTGGACATTTAAAGGAAAAATAAGGAAAATCAGAGAAACAGCTTCTTTGTATTTATACTTGTTTCCTTTACATTCACATCTATTGAATAATGTCTGCTGCCGTTGTGGCATTTTTTAGTATAAAACTTTAGCCTGTCTTCCCCTTAAAATGAACCCATTGCCATCATCATAATACCTCAAGCTTGGTTAAAGATCAATTTTTTCTTTTAATAAATTTATTTACTTTTGGCTGCGTTGGGTCTTCGTTGCTGCGCGCAGGCTTTCTCTAGTTGTGGAGAGTGGGGGCCACTCTTTGTTGCGTTGCGCGGGCTTCTCATTGCGGTGGTTTCTCTTGTTGCGGAGCATGGGCTCTAGGCGCACAGGCTTCAGTAGTTGTGGCACGTGGGCTCAGTAGTTGTGGCTCGCAGGCTCTAGAGCACAGGCTCAGTAGTTGTGGCGCACGGGCTTAGCTGCTCCGTGGCATGTGGGATCTTCCCAGACTAGGGCTCGAACCTGTGTCCCCTGCATTGGCAGGCAGACTCTCAAACACTGTGCCACCAGGGAAGTCCCTAACCATGAATTTTTACTCAATGTGCACTTCATCTGAAGTCTGTTTTAAGTAGCCTCTCTATGTGGAAAATCTCTATCTTTGCAAACTTTCACAGAGGTTTTTAAAATTAAAAATTTTTTTTATTTTAAAATATACTGTTTAATAGGGCAAATATACCAGGAGGTGTTTATAATACCACTCCCCCTTTTTTTCTCTCTAAAAATGTTTAAAGAGAAGGTTCAAGTTCTTTTTGTATGACTATTTAACTAGATATCATCATGGGGAGGAATCCCAACAGACCCAACCAAGAGAAAAACCTGACTTATCTTGTGGTCAAAGAGGTTTATTCAGAAGTCAGCTCTAAATTATTTCTGAAGAGACAAATAAGCTCATTCTTATCATTTGTCTTCTCTTGCCTTACTCTTTTCTGCTATTTTGCCTTTTTCTTATCTCTCATTATTCTTTTTCTTTCTTTCTTCATCCAACGCTCTGCTTTCCCTTCTTTTTTTCTATTTATTTTCCCATCCTATTAAAATATTCTATTTCCTTTCTTTCTGTCTCTATATTATCTTGAGAGAGCATAAATCATTTAAAACTTGATCCACCCAGCATGCACTGTTTTCCACTTTGGTTCACAAACCCGTTTCTTCTCCTT